CATGTGTTGAGTGTAGTAGGAGACTGGAGGGATACTTACATCACCTGGGAAAGGAGGAGTTAGAAAAAGCTGGAGGCCGGCAAAGGAGGACAAGGGAGGGCAAAGAAAGGCATTCTAGATAGAGGGAAGGGTATAAGGTAAGAGAAAACATGGTGCGTGTGGAAAATGTGTGCAGAACTATCATAGTAAATTCAACATTGGCTGGCTTAGCACAGTCTGCAGGGCTTGCTAATGGATGATGCTGTATAAGAAATAGAAGTTTTTGGGTGTTTTGGTCTCAGGGCTTTACCCTCTTAAAAATTATTGAGGACCCCCAAAGAGCTTTTGTTCATGCGGACTTTATCGATATTTTAGCTAAAATATTAGAAATTAAAACTGAGAAATTTTGAACATAGTTGTTGATGTATTTAATTACATGTTACCTTAAGCCATATTTCATGGAGAAAACAAAACCCTACATTTTCTAAACACAAATGAATGAGGAGGATGGCATTGTTTTATATGTTTGCAAAACTTTTTACTCTCTGGCTTAACAGGAGCCAGCTGAATTCTCATATCCGCCTCTGCATCCCATCTGTTGCAACATCACATGTCAAGAGTAGGAAACGCCACTGCACACTCATGAAAGAAAAATGGGAACAAAGGCAAAAAAAGTCATAGTATTACTATGAAAATCGTTTTGATTTTGTGGGCCCCCAGGGGTGCCCAGACCACACTTGGAGAACTGTGGCTGCCGAAGTAGGCGGGGCAAGGCCATGAGGGACAGCTGTGCACATATCATGAGGTGCACTGAGCCTTATCAAGGAACTAAAGAACTTCAAGATTGTACATATAGAGTCAGGTCTGAGTTTTAAATCATCCTTTTTTTGCAGTTGTGAAGTGCATGTATTTGAGGGTCACAAGAACAGAGAGAAGAAAACTAGTTAGGAAGTTATTGCAATTGTTTGGGCAAGAAATGATGAGGGACTCAAGAGCAGTATGTCCAGAGATGGAAAGAAGAAATGGATTTTGAGAAATATTTAGGAAGTAGGATTGATTGGACTTGGTGATTGATTAAAAGTTGGAGGGCTGGGGAAGATAAAGAAAACTATCATAATTTTAGCTTGAGTAACTGGAGAGAAGGTGGTAAAATAAGTGAGACAGGGATGGTAAAAGGTCATGGCAGTGAAGGGGGAGAAGGTGATGCATTTAGTTTGGGACTTTCTGCGGTGATGGGACTATAGGTTGGCCCAGGAGAGGCATCTAGAAGGAGGGTGAATGAATGAACCTGAGCCTTGTGCAGGGGCACCTTTACTATAAAACTTCAACTTAGAGCCCCTCATATACATGGGCCCCTTTCTAGCTGTACACTTTTTAAAACACACACACACACACACACACACACACACACACACACACACAAAGGTTAAAATACCTTTTAACTGCAATTGGTTACTATCACTCTTTCTTCTCCACTTTCTCCTCCATCATGATTCCCTGTGTGTTAGATGGAGTGAAGGGGCGGCAAGCATTTTTAGGATTCAATGGAGGGAAAATTGAACTGGGAATGCATTTAGCTTGAGTTTAGTGGGATATATTCATGTGATTTTCAGCTGCCTTTAATTATTTCTGACTCACCCAGCAGATTAATGATTTCCAGGAATACCCCTAACCCACGCTCTAGATGTATTGAAACATGAACTAATTCTATCATACCCAGCATCAGAAGTTTGAGGGTAGGTGGAAGAAAAACAAGGTTAAAAATGTATGAGGCCAGAAGTAATCTGTGGGAAATTCTCCAAATCATCAGATGTATTAAAAAATGTAAGCAGAGGGTTTTGTTCTAATCAGTGACTAGTCAAAAGGGCAGTCTTCTCCTGGCATGAATTGTGGTGCATTAAATATGACTGTAAATTCTTTGTCACTCCTTCCAGTGAGCTGTGGTGTCTATTTCCCCTTTCCTCGAATCTGGGCTGGTCCTGTAATTTGCTTTGACCAACAGAATACAGTGGAATGGTGCTGGGTAATCGCCAAACTTGCATCTTAGAAGATCCAAAGCTTCCTACTTTTACATACTTAGAATGCTCCATCTTGGAATTTTTTTTTTCTCAGTTCCAGTTTAACAGAAACTACAAATGATCCAAAGTGATGCCCCGGTACTGTACACATCAGTTGGCCTGCCTCCTAGCAAAGGTCAGGCCATTTCCTCCAGGGAAGAAAGGCTGGCCTCCCCAACCCCTGCAGGAAAGGCCTGTCCTGTCCCATACCACATCTGGGCCAAGTCTAAAGTCTTATGGTTTAAGCATGACAATACTACAAAAGAGGTTTTGTTCTCATGGCTGTTTACTGTAGCCTGCCCCTAAAGTGGCCCATCACTCATTTCTGCTCAGATGCCAGGCGTTTAGAATCCCACTGGAGGAGGAAAGGCCATGAGGAGGAGATCCAGGTCACTTAGCGAACAGCCAGCAATAACGGCTAGTCGCGAAGGGAGCCGCCATGCATGTTCCAGCCCAGTGGAGCTCTGATGATTGCGGCCCCAGTCAACACCTCATTTGGTAGATGATCTGCCAAGCTAAGCTTAGTCAACCCAGAATCATGCAGTGGTTTCAGAATAATATGTTACTCAGCAATAGATAACCAAAACAGTTGCTGTGTCTGGATCAGAAGGAAAAGGAGATGGAGGCAAAGGGGCCAAAAGGGAGATTCTTCTGGACAAGACAGATTGGACTGTATTTATAAAGCTAGGAAGGAATGAGTAGATTGAGAGTTAAAGGTACAGGAGAGAGGGGAGGTATTTCAGCAAGCCTTTGAATGAGACAATGAATTAGATGAAGGACGCAAATTAAGGTACTGGCCTTGTATGGAAGGCAGGGGACTTCATTCTGTGAGGGTGGCAGAAATGAAGTCAGCAGGGGTGATGTGACTTAGCTTAGTGAATCATTTATCTTATAATATGTAAAATAACTTCAATCTGTAGCCAAGCAAATAAGTATTTATTATTTATTTTATGAATTTAACCAGAATAAAGAAAATATAATTTGATTCCCTCTTTAAAAATAATAAAAACAGAAAGAAGAGACGACAATATCCTAAAAGTAGTAGAATTGCTTTGACTGATTAAAGTCTCTCAAACTCTGAAGTTGACTTTTGTGGAACACTTGTGAAATACGTTAATGTTACATAGATCATTCTTTTAGGGCAGTTTGCAACAGGTCATTTAACATAGCAAAAACCTCAATATCTGTTAAGAAAAATGCAGAAGGACTTGAGTTGAGGAAAGAAGGAAAAAAATCTTTACTTTATCCATTTACTCAAAGACATTTTTTGCTTTAAAATTTGTTTGTTAAAAACAGGGCTGAAATTACTTTGAATTATTTAATTTTGCTGGGAAATATTTAGTTTTTAGTAAAAAAACTATATATTTGACATAAACTTAATATACTTCTAGAAAAACCACATGGAAAATAATACCCTAGTTAGTATAAGGTCAGTTTTTCTCAGTAAGAATGTATTAATTCAAAAACACATATGAGGGCCAGCTGAGTGGCACGTTGGTTAGGAGTTGGCTTGGGACGCCAGTTCTGAGCAGCAGGGCACTGGTTCGGATCCCACATGAGGCCAGTGATGCTGCGCCCTCTACAGCTAAGATGGTGAACAGCAGCTGGACCTAGAGCTGGGCTGACGTGAGTCGCCGCCGATGGCGTAGGCTGCAGTGGGGCTGATCAGCAGCTGGCGTGAGAAAAAAACAAAACAAAACAAAAAATACACATATGAAAGGCCCACTATGTGCTCTGTTCTAAATGCTGAGGAAACAGGAATGGACAAGACAGACACAGTCCCTGCCATCATGGAACTGACATTTGAGTGGAGGGGGGAGGGAGGAACAAAAAAAAAAAAGCATGTAATCAAATAATGAATAAGAATTGTAGACAGAGAAAGTGAGATGGGAAACAGCAACAATAAACACAGCCATCTGATGCAGAGGGCCTGGGGTGGAAAGAGGGGTCGTGATTGGAAGGGTTGGGTGCTAGTTTGAACAGCCTATCTGAGAAACGGGAGCTGTCAATCTGAGATGTCAACAGTGAGCCAGTGGTCAGGTAATCTGGGGGAGGAGCTTTCAAACAGAAGACACAAAATGTCAACAGCTTCTCTCCGGGTAATGGCACCAAATGCTGGTGTTACACTACAGGGCTGAGCAATCCATGTAGGCCTACTGGAAATCATGTTTACATTTCCCATCTCTGAGATCTGGGGAATGTGGTACTAATAACAATATCTTCAAGATGTTTAAATAGGGGCTCCATTGGAAAATATGAGATGTTGTAAAAAGGGGGCGAGGAGAATAAAAGAAAGAAAGAAAACCACAAGAAAAACGATATTAAAACAGAGTACATTTTTAAATGCCCCAAAGAAGAATTGCTGGAACCAACAGTGAATTCCTCCAGTAAAACATAGCCACACACCAGAGGTTTTGTTAGAGAAGATGCAAGTAAATATCGAATAGGAAAATCTAATTTACACACATATATGTGACCATTTAGAACCAATACACACAACTCACTTTGGAAAAAAATGTTTTGTCAATTCTTATGATATTGATATAAACTAAACATAATAAACTCAAGTGTGAAATTATTAGATTTGCTTGTAATGATAGGGTCAATTTGAGATCTTGCCTTCAGTGAAATTCATACTTCTTTGGCTGAAGTAGTTCAAATCCAAATTCATTTGCACTGATATCCCTTCGTAATGTGTGTGTTGAAAGTCCCAAAATTGTCTCGGGGCCTGCTTGGCTTTTATGAATATTCTAGCCAGTCCAAGGCCGGTTTCCCCAGTATGAGTAGCACATACTATATTAGGACATGAAATGAAGGTCATCAAGGAGGCCGCTGAGCCACCTCTCAGTGGTGGAAAGGCAACTGGAGGACTCCAGTGGGCAGCTGATTTGGGCAGAATTGTGACTAGGGACCTGGGATATGGAGAGAAAGAGATGGGAACCAGAAAATGAAACGAGGGGCACCTTTCCAGATGGAGTCATTTTATTTCCAAGCATGAGTCAAAACAGATATATACTCCCCTATCTCCACACTGGATTTTCATCTTATATAATAGATTTGCTGCTAAAATCCTTCATAAAATCTGCCTTTCCCTTTGCAGTGGGAAGTAAGCAAAAAGTCAAAGATTAAAAAGTCATGCATAGAACATTATAGCCACCAAGATAATTATATAAGTCTTCACAGATCAACGATAAAACATTAAGACTACACTTTACTATATTTTGCAGCACTTCAAGATTTTTTTCTTCATATATTTATGTTCATATTTCACAAGCAATGATTTACAAAAAGGCTATCAACTTTTTCATAAAATCGGAAAACAAAACAAAGCCATACCTTTTTTTTTTTTTTTAATAAGAACAAAAGCTAAAAGAAAATGAACTCACCCCAAACCAAACTACCTTCAACATAAACTCTGCAGTCTTCCCACAGGAGTTCTTAGCACTCAGATTTTTGGTTAGTTTAACTTCTCCTTATCTAGCGGTTTTTGTATATCATGATTCACAACTGTTATTATTCCAAGGAGAATTTCAAGCAAGACCTTCAAGCAAGGTCTGAGGTGGGATACAGTGTAAGTCATTAGACAAATTATTCACATGTATAAAAGCTTTAATGAAACTCAAGTATTTCATCTGAAATGGTGCTTGTCTCCTTTTTCCTTTCACTCCCTTTTCATCTGAGAGAGCTCTTTAGAGATCTGTAATCATTTATTATATATAAATTACTATAGGATTTGGCTCACAATTCTGGGGGCAAGGGGGTGTCATTTTAAGGAAGTCTGTGCACGTATTATAATTTCTTTGCTTTAATTAGAGGTGGATAACCTCTAAGGGCCAAACATTGGTTCCTTCAAAGGGTGTCAAAAAGAATAGGATTAAATGAGGAGTAAGAACTAAAATCCATAGAGTAAGAACTAAAATCCCAGTTTGTCAGAAAAAAAAATTTTTTGATGGTGCCTGTGTCTGTGTATATGGGATAAATGACCTGAAGAAAACCACTGTAGAAGAACAGTCAATACAATTTGCCAGTCTGACAAAAATGGTTGAAATTTATAGAGGATGACACCTCATAGATCAACCAATTCAATTCTCTGATTTTAGAGGAAAAGGAAAAGAGGCCCAGAGGTGGTAAATGGCTTGCCTGAGCACATTAGCATGCTAGGTTGTATGATTATTGTTATACTCACACAGACACACAGTCCTGTATTTATTTCTGTGTTGCACATAAAATGCTACTAGCTTACATAATAAATGTAAAATAACCATGCAAATTTTTCTTTGTGAGAAATACCCATCTTTCCAAAGAGGGAAAGGTTGTCCTGTCTCCCCACTGATAAACTTATTGTATCATCACTTGGCTGGACTGCGCCCTTCTGCAGTCCCTGGAAATAGCATGGACGGGGGGAGAAGTGAGAGTGGCAGGAAGGAGTGCAGTGGTGCTCCACTCATGTCAGAAGTAGAGTTTCTTGTTAGGCCAAAGATGTTCCCACTGGCAGTGACAGCTTTACATTGAGTAAAACGTGAGCTACAGGGACTTCTAGACTTGGTGGAAGGAGATAACGAGGGTGTAGGCACCGGGTGCCAATGGATGCCCTTCACCCAGAAGAATATGAGCTCGTGTTCCTCTGACCATAGAGAGCAGAAATGAGCGGTGTGTGTCTTGCCTAAGCTGTAAACTCTAAAGTTAGATGGCTTTACTAGGTGAAGTCACAGTTTCTAATGATCTTAGTTTGTATAAGCATACGAACACAAAAATATTTAGGCCTAATGTATAGTAGTATTAATAGCCATGTTACTTTTTTCCATAAAATTACAAGTGGGTATAATTCTAAGGTAGTTTTTTAAACTCTAAGGTAGTTTTATTAATTTTAGTATTCATTACAGACATTATCCTGAAAAATCTTAAGTCTAGTTATATATATTAACACTATATAACTTTAAAAAATAAACAATACATTATATATACCAAAATAGCCCCATTTTTAAGCCATGTAAGTGAAAAACTTGAATTTTTCAAGAATAAACTAGACCCTCACAAGTATTTTTCATAATTTTAAACTAATATCTTCTTTCCTGACTATGCCAACTATATACACACTGCTCTTGGTAATTTATGTCAGAAGTATTCATTATGAAAACAATAGGTTGATTCATTTGCCTGTCTTGTTCTATAATGGAAAATTTATTCTAAATTTAAATAAATTTGGTCCCAAAAGTTCTCCCCCAAGGAGACGGTATAACCAAAACACAATATACAGATATCCAGTGCATGCAACCTTATATTTTCTAATAATAGTGGTAGAAGGTAACTTTCAAGTATCATCATAATCCGACTGGACTTATAGAAAGTTATCTCATAAAATTAACACTCTAAAGGAAGAAAGTCATTTGAAAAACTTGTCCTTGCTAGAACACCTTTGCCGAAATTCCCATAGGAAACAAAACCATCCATCCACAAGGGACAGAGAGCACTTGGAACCCAGTTCTGGACCTAAAGTGCACACATTTAACTGAACGGTCCTCTGAACTCAAAGTAAACTCTGGCAAGTTGAGGAAGAGCCCACATTTTCTCAGCTCATTAAAGGTCACTGTTATCACCCACAGCTGGAAGAATTTCTTCTATTATAAAAAGAACTGCTTGATGACAGCAGGACCCACAGCTATTTTTAGCTCCTAGTCCTGCTTTCTGCAGTGGTGGGTGTTTGTAGTAGTTTGGCTAGAACAAGAACAGAGAGACTGGCCCACTTTGAGAACCAGATTTAGATGTTTTTTGCACTTAACGTTAGTCAAATGTATTTTAAAAAATTAAATTAACACACAGCAGGGAGGAGAGGTTCCATAGCTCACAAGTAACAAGGGGAAATTAGTTGACTAAAAAGTGCACGTCTTTCCAAAGCAGGTACAGGAGGTCAAGAGGGGCACAAACAAGCATTCTAGAAATTTTACTCCTTTACAGGTTTTGATCCAGCCACTTGATGTAACTATTCCTAGTCCGGAGTCCCACTGAGAAGTTGGTGGGCCAGCTGGTGAAAATCATGCATCCATGGAAGCCATCCTCAAAATGGTCGAGGGTCACCTTCACACCTGCACTCTCCAAACGCTTTGCATACATGATCCCGTCGTCTCTTAGGACATCATGCTCACACGTCAGAATATAGGTCTTTGGGAGGTGCTGCAGGACCTCCTGGGCTGCGATGAGTGGGGCGGAACGGGCATCCAGCAGCTGCGGGATCTCCCGGACGATCCTGGCATTGCCGGTGGTCTGCACGACAGGCTTGTAGTTCTTTGTGATGGATGTGGGCAAGAGGGATGTCCAGTTTAGACGGGCCCTGAGGGCAGCAGCCTCTCCCACATCGAGCGAAGTGTGATTGTTAACTATCATTGCCTGGACAAAGTCATGGTTGCCTTTGAAATAGTCTACCCAGTACTTTACCATGGTGTGCCGGGACACGATTGGGGTGTTCACATTTTGCTGATAGGAGGGTGTGTTAAAATCTAAAGCTTGAAGAACTGGATAAATTAAAGCTTGCACTTTGAGCTTGTTTTTCAGGTTGGCATCTTGACTAAACTGGAGAAGAAGAAGAAACACATGATTTCATTTTGCATGGCTCCTTTTATAGAAAGCACACCTTAAAAGGTAGCGTAATGCGTTACTTTCAATCAATCAAAGGGATACAGTTATTAGATTTCTACCAGGCATGGTATTAAGTAAAGTCGTTTAAAAAATAAATAGTTCCCCATCACCACCACCACCACACTAACAAGCTGCTAGATATTTACTAAGAAAGCTATGATGTTTGCAGCTTATAGTTTTGGCTGAACACTTCAGTGGTACATGATCTCTTAGGTCTTGAAATCCTCATTAGCACTTTACTTGTACCTATTCTTTGGTACTCAGCACACCTTGTTGGGTGTGATGGATGGACAATGTGTGAAACTTATTTAATTTTGCCTTCCATGCAAGACCCAAAAAAGGCAATGGCTTCCTAGGGAGAAAAAACTAGTCTGACTCTTCCAAAGGAGAGGGGTGGGAAATGCTCAATGAATAGATGATGGGACTCCAGAGTGTTTTAGCAGGACCTCAGGGTATCTCCTCTGATGAGCACTTAGTCTTCATGCTTGGTGAGAGAGCGAGAATGTAGATAGTGCTGGCAAAGTACCCACCATTCTACTAAATGAACACATGCCCAAAGTGAAATCCATATGAGAAGGGGAATGGCCCCCCCAAGTTGTGCAGCTCTCAGTTCCCCCATGCCTCCCCAGAATGTGAATACATTGCCTCATTTTGTAATTGTAGTGTCTAAAATGACATTTTTCATATACCGTGTTTCCCCCAAAATAAGACCGGGTCTTATATTAATTTTTGCTCCAATAATCTACATTTATTTATTTATTTTTATTTTTTATTTTAAAAAATATTTTATTGGGGAATTAGGGAAGGGGAACAGTGTTAGGGAATTGGGGAAGGGGAACAGCCAAGTTGTTGTCCTTCAGTCTTAGTTGTGGAGGGTGCAGCTAGCTCAGCTCCAAGTCCAGTTGCCATCCAGCCGCCCATTGGCACCTCGTGGCCACTCAGCTCAAGGTGCCATGTTCAATCTTAGTTGTGGGTGGGCATAGCCCACCATCCCATGCAGGAGTCAACTGGCAACCTTGTTATTAGGAGCATGTGCTTTCTCCAGCTGAGCCATCCTGCATCCTGTTGGCAGCTCAGTGGCAGCTCAGTTCGGGCCCAGATCACTGGCCCATGTGGGAATCGAACCAGCAGCTCTGTTGCTCAGAGTTTGTGCTCTTAACCAACTGAGCCATTTGGCTGGCCCCCGTTATTCATGTATAAAAATCTACATCTATTCACACAGTCATGTCTGGCTGACGAGCTTAACTGGGGCTAATATTTGGGGTAGGGCTTATATTACAAGCATCCTGAAAAATGCTAGGGCTTATTTTCCATTTAGGTCTTATTTTCGGGGAAACACTGTAACATCTAAAAGACAGCTACCCAGCTCACTGTAGGCAACTAAACAATCTTTAAGGTAACTTTAGCTGCACAGTTTTGTTTCACATGAGCCTTTAGAACTTCACCCCCAGGGAAGATATAACTGCTCTGTAAAAGTCAGAGGAAATGATCAGTAAATATTATTAATATGTGCCAAGACTTGTACATACATCATCTCACTAAGTCCTGGCAACAGCCCTGCAATCAGGTGACATTATCTTCATTTTCTTGAGTCTCAGAGAGACTGAGGGACTTGCACAAAGCCCTGTAGCTCTGAAAGGGTGTGTGGGACTAGATTCCGTCTCAGTTCTGTCTGGTTTTAAAGACCGTGATGCTCTCTCCATGGCACCAGGACTTTCTTCTCACCGCATTTGGACACATGAATAACAAACTGGCCAATGCCAAGTGGAGAACCAAGTCTTTAATTATAGCACAGGGGAAGGAACCAAAGGTACACCAATAACAAAAGCAGTGCTGCTTGAGAATACCAAAAGAAATTTGGGGGTGAAAAGACAGGGATGCTATTCTTAAGTTATTTGACATGTTAAACGAAACACTTTGCAGCCAAAAGCTTTTCTGAAAAGAAAGGCTTATTGCGCCATATACTAGCCAGAAAGAACCTGGGGCCTGTGCAGTCTGACCCACCAGCAGCAGGCGAGTTGGAGAAGCGGTACAGTCCGCTGTCCCGGGAGCTGATGGGCTGTTTATACAATGGGTTTGAGGAAGAAAGATGTAAGTTGTTTGGAAAGAATTTACATTGGCTGTAGATAAGGAGGAGGCAGGAAGAGGTGAAGCCAGGGAAGTTCTAGAATAGATGCAGTCCCTAAGGAAGAAATATTTCCTACGTCTGTTAGGTAGAAGTTATAAAATGTAGGAGAAGGAGGTAGGTGGGAGGGGGTCCATGGTGCCTAGAGACAAAGCCCGTGAACAACTTTGATTAACTGCCTCCAGCCACTTCTCTGTTTTTACAACAGATAACAAGAGGTTGTCTGCAGCAAGATAAGGATCTGAGTTAACCGAACTCCACCAGCATTTTAGGAGGTCACACCCTCCCTAGCAGAGGACTTACCGCTTCCGGTCCCCACCACCAACACCACCACATCATTATGTAACTCCCTCACCCTACCCAGCAAATTATACTAAATCCTCAGGACAAGGGGACAGGAGCCTATGCCTCTCTTGCCCACCTGGGCTGTGTTACTATTATAATAAACCCGGCTTGTCTACTAATCAGTTTACTGATCTTTGATTCTTCACTGCATCTGCAAAAAGAACAGAGACGCCCACAACACTTCTGGGTTGGTTGTGACAACAGTCTGGAAAGTTCACGTGGAAAAAGCAGGATGCAGTGGTGTCTGGTGGTTGGCTATTTTCTTTTTTTAGCTAGCCACCTGGAATTTGATTCAAAGCTTTAACAGATGTCTAGGAATGTGAACAGTTTTTTGTTGGTTTTGGCCGAAGGTTAACTGATTAACCTCCTTTCTTTCCACCCTCAGGCCTCCTGCAAAGTAATTTATGACATCTCAGAGTTTTTCTCTTGTCAACTCCATAAGAGGAAGAAAATGTACTTATCTGCCCCAAATTTTGTTTTCAAAGAATTTAACCAGGTAAAGCTCAGATTAGCTTGTATTGTTACATTTAAAGTGCCTGAACCATTTAATATTTTCTCTGATGTTAAAAAAAAAATGGGAGACACTTTTTAATTTTTTAATCTGGCTCAAAGTTCTAAGGAAACAATCTTAGCAATTAGAATTTAAGCAAAACTACCCTGTTTTGGAAGTCTAACATGGAAAAGGAGCAGGGGATGCTTAATTTCCACGCATTCCCAGAGGAGCATGGGAGCCCTCTAAAATGTTAGACCTCTTCTCACACTGACTACTCAGGGCCTTTACAAGGACTCAGGACACTTCTGTCAGTGACCCCTCTTCCTATTTCAAAACAATCTCTGAGAGCTCTCCAGGTTCAGGCACCTGAATGACCTGGCCAGCTAGTGACCAGACCACCTGGCCAAGCCTTTGCCATGTGTAGTGGAGAGTGTGTTGGTTTTTTGGACATTATCATGCACCTTCCTACCGTCAGCACCTCAGAGCAGTCTGTTACCTGTTGGCTTACAGCAGCGGCCAAATTCCCACCAGCGCTGTCACCAGAAATGCCAATTCTGCCAGGGTCCACCGAATACTTCTGTAAGACTTCTGGCTGCAGGAAATACTTTGTGGCACGTACGACATCGTGAATTTGAGCAGGAAAATAAACCTCGGGAACTAGCCTGTATCTGTGAAGATAAAATTTGTATTCATTTAAGACTTCACCAAGTCTTACAGGCCATTTAAAGTTTAAGGAGAAACTCATGATGTCAGAAATAAACAGGCAAGGAATTAAAATAAACCACTGATTTACTTGCAAGTCAAATACTTATCAAAACTTCAAAGTACAAGACAGATATCAATTATTCAGATCTAGATATCCCAATAAATTTGGGATATTATTTCTGGAAGTTAGTGATCCGTTCACAACTTATCTGGGTTGAAGGGGATACGGCAGCCCTGACCACTTCAATGGGTCTCATGTTTAGTGAGTCCACACGGTATTCTTTATGACTTACTAGGGAAATATAGTAACATTATACTCTGAAGAGGTCATGCCAGCCTGACATTAAACCCAAGCAATGCATTCACTCCCTGGAAGGCTGGAACTAAAATGCCAGTTGTCAACCAGTAAAAAGGAAGCCAAGTCTGCCAGGTGGCCCTTTGGGGCACTTCTGGAGATTTTCCTACTGCCCCACTTTGCAAGATCTGAGACCCTTTGGGATCCTATACTCTGTACATTTAGTAAAATTCATATTCCCTTTGGCATCCCAAAGAACCCTGGTTTTGTCAAATGCCCCACTCCTAATGTCACCTTGCAAATCCATATTTGGTAGTGTCATGTTGGAGAACCCTCTCGGTCTCCACCCTCCTGTCTTGCTTATTAATTCTCACTCATCCTTTAAGCCTTACTCGAGGGTTTGGCCTCCTCCAGGCAGCCTTCCTTGACTATAACTCCACTTGCTTCTGGGGCTGAGCTAGCTACCATTCCTTACTACTTCTGCTTGCTAGGTTATATTACTGTTCTTATTGTCTCATCTTAAAATGATTGCTTTATGTATTTCCTCTAAAGAGTATGTTCTCTGATACCAGGGACTGTGTCTTACTCATCACTGTGTTTCCAGTATCTATCAAAGGTGTTTGTCACATAATCATCATCCATCCAGGAAACCTTTTGAGTATTAACATACCTTCATTTTGCAAATGAAGAAACTGAGGCACAGAAATGCTACTTGATTTGTAAAATAAGTCTAACACAGATCAAAGCAAGGTAGAATAGAAACTAATTACTTAACTAAAACCTAATAATAGTTAAGAACTCAGGGGTTTGATTTCCATTTTATAATTAATATACTGAGTCTCAGAAACTAATTTTTTCTAAGGTACTCTATATAAGGCCATTTATTTCTCCTATCTAAAAATCCAGCTAGTTAATTAAGTATCTTGGCATTCAGTGCAAATACAGTCAAATGGACAAATATTTATCAAATACTTTTGATAAGCAGTAAATGTAGATTTGGTCATTCAGGCATTACTACAGTTTAAAACTAAATGCAATACGAAATTCCCTTAATGGTTGTCTTATGACAGATGAAATAAGTTTTCTAATTTGTTTCTTCTTATTCCATCTGTGGTGATCAATCAATCATCCAAAATGTTTTTCTCCAGTTGATTTTCACTGTCTAAAAGCTGCTGCTATAATATATATAGCGTTCCATTCTAAACAATGGGTGACAGCAGTAGGAGTACACCATTTTGTCCACTAGGGGGAGACATCTCACATGTTTCTATTTACCCCCAATTCTGGGACTAGGTCTCAATTTTTTAACTTTAGTATTACCAAACTGAATTCTTAATTCTTTCCATTAAATAAAAACAACTGCACTTTATGACTCAAGTTGTGAAAATAAAGGCTATTTTGTTTCAGCAAGATTCCATATATTATGATAAACTGATTTCCTGGTGGCCTGGGAGGTCAAAATACATTCTGCTTATCACACAACACATGAATTAAATTTTGAGATGTTTCACAAAAGGTCTTAGTGACTTTGAATAAAGAGAAAGTGGTAATCTAAAATACATGCTACTACCTCAAATCGTATCAGTCAATTATAACTGGCTAAGATAACAGAGTAAACATACTTAAAAACAAACAGGTTATGGCGCAAGAGTCAGTCTTCCTGGTGCCCTTAAAGATCTATCTCCCCACCCCTCCCCTTAACATTTGTTCAAGCTGGAAACATTTTCTAATTTTATTCAATAAGAAGAGACACTGTTTTCACAGACTGGAGAATAAAGTGAAACTGGATATTTCTGAGGTCACCTAGTGTAAGATGAACCTGCAAAGGAGCTTGAAATTGACCTGAGGAGTATAACAAAAGTTCCATAATATCTTCACAGACACAGAAAACTGAGGATCAGGAGGAAATTTATGACTGGCATAGCCAAAGAAAGCATGCGTAAATATAGTTATTTGCTGCTTTTGTTCAAAGCTATGCTCCTGCAAAGTGCTGAAAGAGCATCCTGCCTTTTTTACTTTAATTTCAAAATTTTAGCTCTTGAGTAAAAGCACCTGATGAATTCATGGCAAATACAGTCTCCATTTCCCCAACTCACTGCAAGGAGAATGACTCTGCAATGCCAGCTTTTGCCTACCTATTACTGTGCATGCCTCCTCCTAGAACGACAAAATTTAGTGTAAACTCAGGAATGAGGTTAAGTCAATTTAATAAATATATACACTCCTTAAAAATTAGCTTATTCCTGTCCTAGGTGAGGCACCTCACCAAGTGCTCTACAGATGGGTTTTCACTCAAATCTCAAAGCAAATCTGTGGGTTTAAGGATGAAAACATGAGGCTCAGGGAGGGCGTGTAACTGGTCTACCACAGCTAAGGAGTGGCAAAGCTGTGATCTGAAGTCACAGCTGGCTGTGAAACCCATGTGTACCTCCCCTTTTAAAATATTCTCATTCTTCAAAACTTATAGCCTTTCAAATGTGTGTGTGTGTTCTCATTACCTCACCAAAGCAGTCGGTTCTCAAAACTGTAGGTTTCTGGCATCCCAGAATGTCTCTCATGATTTCAATGGTTTTATAATATTTTCAAAACAAACCACCTAGTACAGTGCCTGGGCACATGGAGCATCTTGTGGATGAAAAAGGGCTGCTATAATAAATCATAAATTCCTAACTGAGCAGGTCGTGATGGGTAGTCATGTCCCAGGCATGTAACATCTTTAGTGAAAGGTTGTTAAGCCAGCTCTGCCCATTGTTCTTGTGCATCTAGGCTAACACACCTTTGAAATGCCAGAAGTAATACCCTTCAAAGTTGTAACAACCCTCAAGAGAGCACATAATCTTGTTAACTATCCTGTAATCCAACCCCACCCACCCTTGCTTTCTCCTAGCTCCATGCAATCTTTTGTCAATTCCCTCCTTAATTCCAAATGCACAAAAGAACCTGCAATCAACCTGTCACTCTCTGGGCATTTGAAAGCTTGCTTCCTGTCCACCATCATCAGTTTTGGCTCAAGTAAACTCTTATAAAAATTCTGACACAGCTTTGGACATTTCTTAGGTTGATGATCTTTAATAACATATTTTCTTTCCTCCAAACAAAATTTTAAAGATTTATTTTTATACCTTTTGCATATCAAATGCATGTCATATAAAGTGGTGAGATAGTAATAAGCCATGTGGCTTTAAAAACACACAAAAAAGAATTTGTTCCTAACCCACCTACTCTTCAGGCCACCTCCAAGGACTCTACTTCCTGTGCATAGCTCAGTTTCTCAGCTCTGTATGCACTGTAGGATAATCCTGGGTGCTCTGAAACAACGCTGAGGTTTGAGCCCCTCTACAAAACATTCCAATTCATTTGATCTGGAGAGGAGCCCAGCATACCTCTATGTAAAGAAAAATTCCCCCAGGGTCAGCCGAGTGGTGCATTGGTTAAGAGCTGGCTTGGGAGGCCAGCTCTGAGCAGCAGAGCCCGGGTTCGGATCCTACATGACATTGCCCTCTACAGCTAAGATGGTGAACAACAGCTCGATCTGGACCTGGGCTGCCGTGAGTTGCCGGCGACGGCATAGGCTGCAGTTCCTGCTGCAGTGGGCTGCCATAAGCTACCGTGAGTTGCCGGCAGCCAGTGTGAGCAGCCAGCAGCCACTGTGAGCTGCCAAGGGCTGCTGTGAGCGGCCATCCAGGGGCCGGCAACCGATCTGCCTCACCCGGGAAGAGTGCAATGATCACAATACCAACATGGGCCTGTGAAGCAATGTTCTCCACAACTAGACTAAAGAACAAAAGGACAGCAACTTGTCTGTTCCGCTTCCCTGATTCCCCAACACTGTCCCCCTCCCCCAATTCCCCAATAAAATCTTAAAAAATATAAAAATAAAAAAAAGAATTAAAAAAAAAGAAAGATTCCCTCAAGTAATTCTAATCTGCAGCCACGTTCATAAATATTACTGAATCCAGCTACATTGTCATTCTTCTCTAAACACATCTCCCTGTCCCCCTACCCAATGTATTGGTCGCTCTCCCCATCCTCTATGTCCTTCCCCCAGCAACTCCTCATCAAATGTTCCCATCCTTTAAGTCCCATTTCAAATGCCACTTCTTCCATGAAACCTTCTGAAAGCCCAGGCAAAAGTAACTCTTGAGGAGGACGGTTAGCTCAGTTGATTAGGGCACAGTGCTCATAACACCAAGGTTGCCGGTTCGATCCCCACATGGGCCACTGAGTTGCGCCCTTCACAACTAGATTGAAACAACTACTTGATTTGGAGCTGATGGGTCCTGGAAAAACACACTGTTCCCCAATAAAATTTAAAAAAAAAAAGTCACTTTCCTTTTGTATAACCCTCCAAGTCTTTCTGCCAATAGGTCATACCACAGACACCTTGACTTCCTCTAGAAGTAGACAGGAAGTCCCAATTCTATACTAGAATTTGATGAATACCTACCTGAAATAAGCGGCAGCATGTCTGTGACCTGTCACTTTATTACCTGCCTTATTAACAGTGACCAGGGAGATGGAGCAATGCTCAGAAAGTCTGACAAACTGCTCCTTCAGTCACAGGCAGGTACTGTACCCAGCCCAGAGCTGAGGGGAAAGGTGAGTGGTCCCTGCCTGTGGAAGTTGAAGCCCTGCATGTCACTAGTGTTCTAGTGACCTTGTAAAGGA